GGCCATCCTCCTTCAACTTCGATTTTCAGATTATTATTTGGATAATGGTTCGTTGCACAGTCAGACAGATGTCTGGCCGACGTTGAGACTGAACCTGGCATTTTCATCCACCTATTGAGTCCTTCCCAAGGACCTTGGCGTAGGCAGATATTGATTTTTCCATCCTGGTAGATATTACCGAACGGAGTAAATCAGCAAGGAGAGTTTTCTTGGTATGCGATTTTGCTAGAACACGATCTTTTACATGCAGCAGTGCGTCTCTCGGCTAATTGAAACAGACATTTCTGGATTATTGAGGCCATTTCCACCAACTGCCTTGACTTCTCATGCACAGGCTTGTCTTTTAAGGCATGCAAGGTTAAAATTAGCAGCTTTCATAATCAATAGTTAATGATTTAAGATGCTCTCTCTGACTCCAGGCAGGCTGGTTCTATTTTGGAAGTTATTCTGTCTTGGATGCTTTGATTATACTGTTTCCTCCCCAAACCATCAATCAGAATAGGGCTGGACGGGACCTTGGGGGTCTTCTAGTCCAACCCCCTGCTCAAGATCATTTCAGACAGGTGGCTATCCAATCTCTTCTTAAATACTTCCAGTGTTGGACCACCCAGCTGATTAATTGTCCTCACTGTTAGGAAGTTTCTCATTAATTCTAGGTTGCTTCTCTCCTTGATTAGTTTCCATCCATCGCTTCTGGTTCTTTCAAAAATAAGTTGACCCCCCTCTTCTTTGTGGCAGCCCCTCAAATACTGGAACCCAGCTACCGTGTCACCCCTAGTCCTTCTTTTCTATAGACTAGCCAAACCCAAATTCTGCAACCGTTCTTCATAACAAGTTCTTCAAACTAGGTGCTTGTTTGTTCTCTATCAGCCTTCATATATACCAGTCAACCCCAACTTGTGTTTTTCAGATGCTTGGATGACAACTCCCATGATCTTCAGCCAGAAGGGCTGGTGGGTCTTAGTTATTTCTGAGAATCACAGGAAATGTGGTGCCGTTTGGATCTGATCTCCAACTCTTGCTCTGGAGAGCACAGCAACATGAATGTAATCTTGGTCTGCAGCTCTTTAAAGCAGCTGCATCATTTCTGGGATTATAATGGAGATGCAGGTTCTGAACTGGGTGTCAAAATGTGTGTGTCAAAGCTTGCTCTGTGGCCACCATTTATTGTTCAGAATCTGAAACCTCTGTCACAATCGCAAGAACGATGCAGCTGCTTTAAAGAACTTGGGCTGCGTCAGTGGTGGGATTCAAATGTGTGAACAACCGGTTCTCTGCGTGGATGCCGCTTCCGGAAGTCCATTCTGGGCCTGGGCAACAAAAAATTAGCTACCGGTTCTGCCGAAGTGGTGCGAACCGGCTGAATCCCACCACCAGGCTGCATTCATGCTTCTGTGCTCTCCAGAGCGATGATTTGAAATCAGATCTTAAAGAGACGGGGGGGGGGGGGGCTGTGGAAAAGTAGAAAAGTTGTTGACTCTTGACAGGCACAGTTTTGCACCTGGGAATCGATTAACACAAGGAAGGGGAAATGAGGAGTGGAAAAGTTCTCCATTGAAACAGAATTTCAACTCAAGGCTTAAGTCAACACTTGTTTGCAAGCCAGATTCCAATTCAGATCTAGAATGCTGGAACGTAAACTGTGACCTGCACGCAGAAGATCCCAGACAGAGCAATTCCTAACCATTCATTTGGGCAAATTGCGTTGTTGTTGTTTCCCCCCCCCCACTCATCAGATGCCTCTGAACTCAAAGCTTCTCTTGTTTCAGCTGGACCTTGATCCCACAGGACTCAGTTCCTGTGTAAATATATATAAAAAAAGATTGCATGATAGGTAGTGCAAATTCTTTCTCCCCCTGGTTTCTGGATTAATAGCCTCTGATTTTAAAAAAAAATGGGGCAGGGGGAAGGCAAAGATGGGGAGGGTCCTGCTCCCCCCCAATGTCAACGTTAAATATCTCAGCTACTCCTAAAGAAAATCTGAAGGTGAAGGCATTCAATGCTTTGGAGAAAAAACCACACCAAAACAGCGTAGATCAGAACTACTGGGTAGAACTAGTCTATAAATAGAAGAAACGGCTCCGGGGGAGAAACAGGAGATGTTAGAATGAAGGGAAAAAGTAAGTGGAACAAGCCAACAAGTCTGTCGGCTTTGATTCATTTGGAGAACTTTTGATCACCATGTTATGACAACAGAGCCGTCCTCCTTCCCCGGAGCCCTTTGTTGAAATATTAAACTGAGCACACTTGATAAAGAGATAAATCCAAGTGCACACCCTTTTAATCTTAAAGAGTTTTGGAAAGCAAGCCAAGGGCGGGAGGTTGCCTAGAACCCAAACAGTTTAGGAGTGTCTCCTTATTTTTTTTTTTCCTCATCACTTTAATGCTTTTCCAACGGGAAGTTCTTTCCTGAACTTCTGCCATCGGTGGGGATCCTCTCTTTCACCTGCTTGATGAAAAAGGATGAGCAAAATAATAATAAAAAAGAATTTCCCTTGATTAAGGAGGGTAAGGCAAGTTGTCCAACCGATCTGGAAAAAGCTCTCGAGCTGAGAAGGTTGATCTAGAATTATCCGCTCTTTGTAGTTGGTCTAGAGCAGTGGTTCTCAACCTTTTTAATGCCGTGACCCCAATCAGTCATAAATCGAGGACTAAACCGGTCGTAAGTCGAGGACTACCCAACCAGTCGTAAGTCGAGGACTTTCCCTGCCCGGGAGCACCGGACATGCGTGGTTCCGCCCCCTGTGCTGGCCGAGGCGTAGCTGGCAAGCGGCAGAGACGGAGCAGGCCGACCACCAGCTGGCCCAGCCCAAGGGAGGTAAGGCACCCGCCGGAAAAGGGGGAAAAAATGGACAAAAAAAATGGCGGACAGCCTTTCTTGGCGACCCCTGTGAAATGGTCGATCGACCCCAAATGGGGTCCCGACCCACAGGTTGAGAACCACTGGTCTAGAGCAATGTGCCTCAACCTCCTTCCTTCATTCTGACTCCCAGAATTCCCCAGCACCAGGAAAAAGATGAGCTTTTTCTAATGTTGTCAACGGATGAGTAAAGTTCAACGGGCAAATGTTGAAGGCAGAGGTTCGTTGGGTTGCGTTCACCAGCTTCTTGCTTCTCAAGAACTGTTCTGTACTGGGATCACTGGTGGAGTCCAGCTAGATGCATCTGAGCATAATAAGGCGAGAGAGAATTGAGACGTGGAGACACAGCTGTGGTCTGTTGTATTTTCGGAGATGGAACGTGGTACCCAATCTTTTATGTAGAGGCAGAGATAAGAAATCTTAGGTCGGATATAAGCTTCAGCAAGTTTTGACTTGTTTTCCCTTTGAGACTAGGATTGGTGTGTGTGTGTGTGTGTGTGTGTGTGTGTGTGTGTGTGTGTGTGTCCCACATTCAGTCTCCCCCCCAGCCCTGAAGCTTGCTAGATGGCCTTCACCTCTTGCTACAGCTCAACCTAATTTCTTCCCAAGGCTAGTATGAGAATGAAATGAAGAATCCCAACTTCTTCCAAGAAGTTGAGTTTTCCTGGGAACAGAGACCAAAGATGGCGAGTCTTCTGACGGCAAACACTAGTTTTGGATACCAGGAGAGCAGGGAAGAGTGAGGCCTTCTTCTCTGCTTCTTCTGAAGAAGGGTCAACTCTACCCTTTGGATGAAAGGAAGCTCTACACTTTGATGGCAGGGACCTAGTTAATCCCCACCCAAGAAAGCCCAGGGGCTGTTTGGAAAAGCATCTTTGGGACAACCTAAGAAATGCAGATCCCTCCCCGGGTGCTTTTTCACGAGGCAACTGGACTTGCTTCTTTTTCCTTTGAAGACGTTTTGTTTCTCAAAGAAGCTTCTTCAGCTCCAACTGGAAGGATTTATACTCCTTGCTGACCGCTGGTCATTTGCATTCTTTTCGAGAGTCGTTGAGGCCACTTGGAGGTTTATCTGTGTCCTCAGGGTCCCCTGAGTGGTGCAAATAGGTGTGGAGCCTCCTTGGAACTGTGGCAAGGATGGAGATAGATGATGTCCTATCCCTCCCCCTCTGTTGAGGGAGGGCTGTTCAATTTTGACCTAGATGGCCTCTTGGACCCCTCTTTCAAACCAGCGGGTCCTCTCTGTCCAAAATGTGGACTTTGCTGTCTTTTCGAAAGAGCGGCCTTTTGTCTTTCAAATGCAGATGATGAACTGCTGAATCTTGTCCTGATGGATTTGTTCTCCTGTGTTGTGCCAGGCGTTTGCAAAGGGATTGTTTCGTTTCCCCAATGTACAGATCTGCACGTGTCTCCCTGCATTGTGCTGCATATACCACGTTGCATGGTTTGCGTCTGGGTGTTTTATCCTTGGGGTGGACAAGCTTCTGCCTTAGCGTATTCCCCCAGGAACAATCCGAACCGGTCTGTAGCAGTCGTTACCGCTCAAAACCCCTTTCATGTGTAGAACAAAGTTGGGAATTGTTTTTGTTTTTTTTAAAAAAGGACATTTTCTGATAAGAAAATCCACACGAGAAAGGGCTTGGCAACTTCAGTCGGCTAAGGCTGTCAAATGCATTTTATTTTTGGATGAAACCACCATTTTACTTGAAGTCTGAGTTGGTCACCCCAAGTACGAGCTGTAGGTGGCTTTAATTTTCTGCCACTCGAGGCTCACCGCTGCAAATAACTGCCAGATGTGTGTCTCTCTTTTTTTTCCGTGTGTGTTTGGTCTGATCTGAAGCATGTTTTCTGGGCATTTTCCCCTCCCCCTTTTGTCTCTTGCCTTCTCCCGCCTTGATTTTTTTTTTTTGTAGAAGATTTTATGACTGCTTGACAACCCAACACATTCTGACATTTTGTAAATTCCCTTTGGTGTCAGTCTGAGTTGTGGGTTTTCCCCGCCTGGCCTTTTCAACACTTGTCTTTTTTTGTGCCAAGAGCAGGGAAAAAAAAAACACATAATAGTAAAAATGAACTCCTTAGGGGAAAAGAAAAAGAAAGAAAAGAAAGCCACAATTTCAGGAAGACAACCGAGCCTGTCATGGCTACTTACATCGCAGGAGGAGAAGGTGAGGACGAAAAGAAGAAAAAAAACAAACGGGGAAAAATGAACTTAAACTTTACAAACCGGGGATTATTCAAAGTTCTGATCCAGCGTTTGGGAGAAAGAGACACGTTTTCAAGGCCTTTACAAGATCAGCGGTCTTCTGTTCCACCCAATGGACACCAAACTTTATCTTCTCGGCAGACACGTCTGAGTGGAAGCGCAGAAAACTGATTATTTCACCTTGCGAAGTTTGATGTGGTTTGTGTCTTCCCGATGCAACAATGGAGGATTGTTGTACTTTGTAAAAAGTGCAAAGAAGAGCAACTATGATGATTAAAGGCCTGGAGACTCAAACATATGAAGAACGGCTGCAGGATTTGGGGATGGCCAGTCTAGAGAAAAGAAGGACTCGGGGGGGGGACAGGATAGCGGCATTCCAGTATTTGAGGGGCTGCCACAAAGAAGAGGGGGTCAACTTATTTTCCAAAGCACCAGAAGGCAAGAAACAATGGATGGAAACTGATCAAGGAGAGAAGCAACCTGGAATTGAGGAGAGACTTCCTTGCAGTGAGGACAATTAAACAGCGGAACAGAAGTTGTGGGTGCTTCATCAGTGGAGGTTTTTAAGAAGAGGCTAGACAGTCACTTGTCTTGAGATGATATAGCTTCTCCTGTTTGAGCAGGGGACTGGACTAGAAGACCTCCAAGGCCCCTTCCAGCTTCTATTCTATTCTATTCTATTCTATTCTATTCTATTCTATTCTATTCTATTCTATTCTATTCTATTCTATTCTATTCTATTATTATTTTAGTCTAGTCTAGTCTAATTTTCCATTCCATATTCTATTCTATTCTATTCCATTCCATTCCATTCCTTATTTTATTATTCTATTCTTATTCTTATTCTATTCTATTCTATTCTATTCTATTCTATTCTATTCTATTCTATTCTATTCTATTCTATTCTATTCCATCTCTGTTCCATTCCATTCCATTCCATTCTATTCTATTCTATTCTATTCTATTCTATTCTATTCTATTCTATTCTATTCTATTCTATTCTATTATTATTCCATTCTGTTCTGTTCTGTTCTATTCTATTCTATTTCCATATTCTATTCTTATTCCATTCCATATTCTATTCTACTCTACTCTACTCTACTCTACTCTACTCTACTCTACTCTACTCTACTCTACTCTACTCTACTCTACTCCTGTTCTGTTCAGAAAGAATGCTGTGGTGTTGCTATTAGTAGACCACGTGCCAATGTTGAGGGTGCAGCGCTGTAGGCACAATTAGAATGTTGAGGCCCATCAAACCCCTGTCTGTGGCTTTCCAAAAGCCGGCGTGAATCAGCAAGTGCTGCGTTGTGCAGAGGGCATCAAAGAATAATTTTTTGGCATCACCTAGTGAGCCAGACTTACATAACTAGCTTTTCCCGTCCTGGGGTTTGCTTAGGGATTTACAAATGATGAACAAAACAGATTTAAAAAGAGACAAAGGGGATTAGTTGGCTAGTTGAAACAAACAAAATGATGGGGAAACTTGCTGGTTGGGTTGTAGGAAGATGTCAGCTGAAAGGACACAGGAAGCAGCGATCCTAACTGGTTGATTTTTCACGGTGGATTCCTTTCCGTCTCACAAGAAGCCAGAATAGGACCACTCACTTAGATATCCTTGGGAGAACCATATCTTCATGTCTGTGGAGATTCTCGGTCATCCAGGTCATGGTTGTCCCACAGGTGCTTTTTTT